TGTGAATTTTTAAAGGAAGTTGTTAGCTGCACACAAATCACAGCAAACTTCCCTGTTATTCCTGACATAAGATTGTTAAAGGCATATTGGGGAACTGGAATAATTTAAGCACCCATCATAAAGACCTTAAGCTTTTGCTCAGGCAGCCAACAGTTCCTCACCAGGCACTGGATGTTTTGCCCACAATCCTCAAAAATTAATGCCAGCAAAGGAGTGCTTTCACAACCACAATGAAGTAAGGAAACACTGCAGAAATGGGAAATGACTATATCTACACCACAAGAGTAAGATTTGTGATTTTGTTTTGGAAAAGTCAATGGTTTTATAAAAACGCTCCAGTTAATTATCACAAAGTCTGGGATTTTAGTAGTGACAGAACCAAACTGCCATGTTTTACTTCAGTACTGCTAAAACATGTACACATTAAGCTATTCATCCATATGAGCTGCATCACTCTGCTTTTATCTGTCATCCATTGTAAAATGGGGGAGAGGAGAAGAGACTACAAAAGTTCCCAGTATTCACCAACACCATGCAATGAATTTTACAGAGTTATCTCACACCAACTAAAGCGTGACAAATTGATCTGATCATTTCTACTGTTCCATGATGTAACAAACCTCAAGGCAGATTAAATCTCTGCTTTCAGGGTTAGCTTTTATCCCAGTCAAGTGTATCAATATTAAGAGTCAGATGATACCTGCTAAGTAGCTTTCTTCCACCTACCAACTCACAGTACACTTACTCCCTGAGCAACAGACCCCATGGCTATTCAGACATGAATGATGAAACCACAGGAAGTCATGAAGAAGTTAACACAACTGAAATAAATGACCCATATGACTTGGTTTCCAACTTGCTGTGAGAGATTCTCCCATCCACTCAACTTTTAACAGCTTCTTACTAGCTTTGGGATTTCTCTGCTAAATAATGAGCCTCATAAGACATCACAGAAAACATATGGTAATTTAAAAATAATTTCTAGAAACACCGAATACTGAAATGTTAAGCACACAGGAACATTACTTATGTTTTCCTATCTTAACTTGGAAAACATGGCATGGCCTCCCTTCATTGTTAACATTGTCATCATTTTGATGTTTCATTAGAGACTGGATGAATTCAACACGTTCAAGATATAAATTTATTACACGACTAGAGCTCTCAAAAGCCAATCTTCCAAACCGGGAGATTATGTGTTAACTAAGCATTCACTAATTTTAAAATTTGCTGCAGATTTAGAGCCCACACAGTAAGGTTCTACTCAACAATATTTTACTTCAACTTTCTATTTTATTGAAATATTTAATTAGAAAGTAAAATGTGCAATAGTGTCAAGTGCAGGTAAAGCTCACCTATTCTGAAATGATTTGCCAGCGACGTTGTCTCTGTATGAATCAAACATAACATGATACTGGTCTCTACTCCACTCCAACACAACCTACAAAGAAAAAAAAAAACAAAACCACTTGATGTCACCACCTATTAGACACTTAATTTTCGCCTTTTGAAATGTTTAATCATAACTGATTTCATTCAAATTGATCTATGCATTCATGAACAACTGAGCAGACCACAATCCCAACTAAATGATGACACTGAGGCAGCAACCAGACCCAGAACTGAAGAGCATAGTTAATTTAAACAATCTTTGCTTTTCTCTGCAACAAAGGATTTCATGACTTATGTATACTCTTTTTAAACTACTTTTTATTTAGGTCACCTCCCCCTTGTTTCTTCGCATCTAAAAATTCAGGAATGTTTTCCCAAAACTAAGACCTAAATCAAATACACTTGGATAAAAGCAGGAAACCCCTAATGCACACACACCCCTGCACAATTTTCTTCATTTTTTTTCTATTCTCATGCAGGCTATACTGAAGTATACGCATCTCCAAAATCTGAGCTTTGCAAACAAACAGCCAGGAAAAACTCCCACAATTTTTCAACAATAAAAGTGGTAAATATGCTTTGACATAATAAGGAAGTCTAGGTATTTTGAGATAGAAGTAATATAAAACATACATGTTCTCCTCTGAGATAAACTTGGTATGACATCTTTTACAGTGAAAAGTCCAGCTTTGAAAAGTAGTGGCATTTTGTGCTGTTTTAGAGTTGAAGGCACGGTGGCTGAATTTACTGGGATAAGTACACATTTCTATGTACTGGAGAGTGAAAAAAACCCAAAACAAATTAAAACAACAAAACAAAAAGAAAGAAAACCAGGAAAGCACAGTACTTATAGTACTTCACACCAGTCTGCCTAGATTTAAATGTTGTTATCGCTTATTTCTTGTACTGTGGGAACTATGAAATATACCACCTCTAAGGCCACCTTCAAAACCATAAACAAACTGTCCTCCCTCTAAAGAAGTTACACATTCCTCTACCCTCATTGCCGCTAAAGCAAATTAAATTCTTCCCCAAAGCAGGGAAGCTCCATCATGTGCCTGGGTGACAAGAGCACACATGAAATTCCTGCCACAGCTGCGAATGGTCTCTTTGTAACCAAGATCATATCAGCACACGCCATTCAGGACACAGATTGCCCAGGTAGGCATAAAAATCTCCTCCCTTAAATACCAAGGTCAGGAATTGTCTTAAAAACACACACTATTACACTTTCTTAATGCACAAGTCACTGAGTCCTTCTGCCAAATGCCAGGTTTAATATAGCATACATTGGAAGTTCATATCCACGTGGAAACATTTGCTCCTACTGATAATCACTCACTGACACATTGCGACTGATCTGTGTCTAGAAGAAATACAGAAGTATTTGAGTAAGAATATATGATATGAATAATATGTCTCTCCAGAACGACGCCATTAACCATGCCAGCCTTCTTCTTTGTCTTTTGCGCACCTATAGCCAAAAAGAAGTGGACAGATCTCCCAAGAACACATTAAGGTCAAAGTTAAAAACTCTTCCTACCCGATACCTTTTTCCCCTGCAACTGTTTCCTCCTGACACATGTATGCATCCTGCAATAATACCTAGAGGCTCTTTTGCTTCCCCTTAGCATACTGGAATTACAAAACCACCAGGGGAACATTCAAAAGGGGAGAAACACCACCTATTAGGAGATACTGTATCAGACCTGATAACAGTGTCTCTGGCATGTTCTGGTTATAAAGCATTTTGCAAAGCAGAGCCACCTGCGGAAAGATGGCCAAGAAGGGTTAATAATCAAACTGCCCTAATACCTAAAGCTCATCTTACAAACAGGGAACAGCATTGACTTAGACCTGGCTGCCCTGTATCTTTCTGCGAAAAATTTCTCACTTATGTTCAATGCCCTAATATTTCACTGAGCTCAAGGTTTTCCTTCAAATGAAGCTAATTTGCAGCTTCTGGCTGTGAGAACACCGTTACTAATCTCAAATTATTTGCCATAACCATCCATTTTTACTCCATCAGTAATACTGGTATTAGCATGAATCTAAGAAATCAGACCTAATTTTGCCTACTAGAAAAAAAAACAAAACAAAACAAAACAAAAAAGCTGGCTTTGGGGGTGGGGCAAAAGCAGAACTGTAAAAGCTGTTCAGACACCAGGGTCTGCTAAGTGCTGCCTCACGCTGCTTTTTATTGCTTGAGTTTCCTGCAGATGGCTAAAAGTGGTTAAGCTGTTAATTTCTAGCAAGATTTCTTGGTTTCATTTTCCAAACAGCTTTATAGTTTTTTATTAGTTGCTGCCTTGCAGATTCTGTACTGAAGAAGAGAAGCATTTTCCATTCCCACAGTAGTCATCAGAAGAGGTCTAACAGTGTTTATTCTCGTAAGCCTTGTCTCTTCTAAGTCACTGAACTACCACTGTGTAGAAAGTACAAAGGTAAAAACCAAGATGCATGCAAACATCTCTCCCCAGGCTTATCTACCACCCTTAGGAAGGAAAAAAAAAAAAAAATTCATTTGTGTTTTTAGCTGTTTTTTGGTTGTTTGTTTTTTTTTTTTAACCATTACTGGTCACTTTTCTTTTTTTCTTCATATATAATTTGGAAAATCTACTCCTACATGAATATTCCAGTTCTTTTGCTCACTCTCTAAATTGTATCTAAGCTTTCCAAGTAGCTTTTAAAGGGCTGGAAGCAGCAAACTAAGATTTAGCAGGAAATCAGCCGTAACTTAGACAACTACTGAAATATTTTTAAAAACCTTCAGAGTTCTACGATATCCTAAAGTTGTGGTTTAAGTCCCCATTCTGAAGAAACGCAAAACTATGTCAGTTTCACAGCAGCACAAAAACTACACCAATCCAAGTCGATACTCATGTACCAAGAGGTGCCTATGAGTGCTTTAAAACTACTTAATTTGCTAATGACTTTGAAGTGTTTCAGGAACTTGTGGTCTCCACAAGACAACAGAGATTAGTACTTTATGTGAAGATGAGTTAGTACACAAAGTTTTGGCTGTGGTACACGCAAGAGTTTCAGATCATACTCTTTATGGCTCTTCTTTTTTTTTCTTTCCTGTATCTGAAAGAGCTGATCAAATTAAAACAGAGAAGGGAAAAAAAAAAGCTTAGGAATCACGAAATTCCAGTCTGTTTGTTGCCATCCTTTCAGACTGAGAAAAATACTTCATTTCCCTGATTCCTCACTATATTAACAAACACTGTACTCAAGCAGGATTAATTTTCTCATCTCCACATCCCTTCAGTGATGACTTACCAAATCGACAGGACAATGTGAAATGAAGATTTACACATCCAACACAACCGTGTAAAATCATATCTAGAAGAACTGCAATTACATTGCATCATTTACAAAATAATGCGAGCGAACTAAGTAACAAGCAGCGAGCTAAGCAGACTCTGCTGCGCAGCTTGGAGGGAGGATACATTTAACTCCTTAAACCCCGGAGAGGGGAAAGATTCCGTCACTCCCAGTCGACACGCGAAGGTGACATCCAGCACAGGCTTTCAAAGACTCCAACAAAAACACAGCGCTAATAAGTCACCTGATGAGGGAAGTGGAAAAGAATTGCACAAGAGCAGCGAGCAGCAGCTGTCCGAGCACGCAGGGCTGTGTCACCTGTCAGACCCCAGCTCACCCCGAGGGGACACCCGGGCGCTGCCCGCAGCCCAACAGGTGCGGCCGGGGCGGCGCGGGGAGCGGAGCGGCCGCGGGGCTGCGGGCAGAGCCAGCCCGTCCCCGCGGGCACGGCGGGCCTGCGGCGGCGCCGCTCGGCACAGCCGGACGGGGCACACGGCACCGCGATGGGCGGGACCTGTCACCCGCGAGGCGCCTAGAGAGGGACCTCGCTGCCCGCGGGACAACGCAGCTACCCGGCTCCCCCGAGGGAAAAGAGCCCCACATCCCCGCGGGGCCGTGCAGCCGCGGGGCTGCGCCTGTCCCGCCGGCACCGCTCGGCTCGGCACGGAGGGAGGGAGGCAGGCAGGGCAAGGGGGGCAGCCACGCCGCGCCGGCGCGGCGCCGTACTGACCTCCCCGAACTGCAGGGCGGAGACGATCATGAGGACGAGGCCCCCGAGGCAGAGGCAGGGCCCATACCTGTGCGACAGGCAGGTATAGGTCTGGCGCTGCAGGAGCTTTAGCAGCATGGCCCGCCGGCGGCCGCCGCCCCGCACGGCCCGGCCCGGCCCCGCTCCCCGCGCTGCCTGCGCCGGGCGGGGCCGCCGGCCCAGCGCCCGCCCCGCTTCCGGCAGCGCCCGGCGCCGCCTGGCGGTGGCGAAGGGAGCGCGCTGAGGGACCGGCACCGCCGGCCCTCACGGAGGCGGCCAGTTGGCCGTTCCGCAACTGAGGGCTTGCGGGCACCGCGCTGACTGATACAGCCGAGCTGCGTGCTGAGATTTAATTTAAGCGGTTCGTGCGTGTTATGGCACAGAAATGAAGTGCGGGGATGGGTTCGTGGAATGGGAATCAGCAGGCTAGAGAGGGTTACTGATTGAGTTCTTCAAGACCGGCTCTTGAGGAAAAAACAACAGGAAATTAGTTAGCGATCGGTAGCTGACAGCTACTCTCTGTCTGGCAGCTGACACTGGATTCTACCATGAAGTCCAGTTGAAGAATCCCGTTTCCTGGGCTGTTGGGGTCCACTCCGGCTAGCTATAGACCCTTGCCCACACGATACTTCATAGACAAAGGTAAAAGATTGAGAAGCGCTCTCCTCCACGTGGGAAACGTTGTCCTTTATTCCAAGACACACATCACGTGGACAAACCCGTAGGAGAAAAAGAGGCCATTCCCTGGCAGCAGGGAGCTTTTATACCCCCGGGATGGGGACAGAGGGAGAGATCCACAGGCAATGGATACCAGTGAGGAGTGGCAACGGGAGGGGTAACCCAGGGGAGAGACCCCCGGGTGGTACCGGGACAGGTGAGGGAAAGACCATGTGATAGGGAAAGGGGTAATAAACCACATAATGTAACATAAGCTACACAGTGCAATATAAAACTATTCTGTGCAAATTCCCAATCACCCAGTGCAAGAGAACAACTAAACTGGTGCACCACAACATCCAGCCACCTGCTTAGCACGGACGCTGTTGCCATTGAGGGCAGAGGCACCAAATGATGGGGTGTCAGAGGCCTGCAGGAGGCCAGGCATGGTAGCACCTGTCTCTGTAGTCTATCCTGCATCCAGAGGTCTTCTAAGTATTTCTTAAAACTGCCTGCAGTGACTTTTCAGAGTCACAACCATCATCCTTGTGAGCCTATATTTCCTGTGGGAAATAACAATGCCTGACGCTTTCCAGAACTTTGTCCCAATATTGGGACGCTGGTAGTCTGAGAGGACTACACATGGTTGTACTTTAAGAAATGTCCCAGAGGGCACGGCTCTTTGGCATGTCTCTCTCTCCTCCTATTTACTTTTTATCATCACAGCATTTGTCTTTCTCCAGAGTGAGAGGAAAGCTAATGTCCTTACAAACAATTTGATGGGTGAAGGGATGGGTGTTCACGTCTTTGAAATGGGGCTTAACGTCCCTCCTGACTTAGGGCAGGTTTGCTGCAGAGCCCAGTCAGCTTGGCTCCTGGAACAGACAAGGGTCTGCACAAGCCCAAGTTTCTGAACTTTGGGGTAAAATAATAGGTTCAAGGGGGAATACGTGGTAGGTGATTATGGAAGTCTGTAGCTTCCCTGTGCCTCAGCCAGTGGAAAGGAAGCCAGGAGTTCAGGACAAAAGGAGGCTGTGCCCTGTGAAACCTCGAGAGCAAATCCCGTGGCTGTGTGTCCCGGTGCACTCTCTACCTTTATTCAAATAAAGTTGCAGGACTCCTCTGTCTCCTTTTAGGACATAAACCTCTGGAATTTGTGGATTTTCCTGACAATGGGCCATGGGGCAGGATGACGAATTCACCAGGGGTTACCTGAAGAGCCTCAGAACCCACCTCATAGTGCTGTGTTCCTCCTCCTTATGGTGTGTTATCAGCCTAATGATACTTATTTGGCCCTTCATGGTAATGCAGCCTTCCAGCCTTGGTACACAGAAGACTAACTAAACTTTTCTCTCCTTTGCCTTCTCACCCATGTGCCAAAGTACTATCCTGGGGGAATATAATCTTTGTGTATTCCCTCACCTGCCCCTCCTGCTCAAGCACTGTGCTATTATCATTAAACTATTATTACTCAGCTATTATTACTGCCTAGCAGTGCCTCTTTACCACTGCCTACAGCCCTGTGCCAGCAGTACCAGTGACGGCCTGGTATTCTGAGTCAGCAGACTGAGGTTTTCATTGAGAACTGAGGTATAGCACATATGCAGATTATGAGAAAAACACCTATTTCTGGTCAAAAAAATCTGTTTCAGGTCAACAATCCAGTGTAAATGCAGAAATGAAACTGACCATCCTGCAAAGATGAAGATGAGAGATATATCACCAATGTAAAGCAGAAAACCAGTCAGGGGAAGCTGAATTACTTCAAGACCTGGATTAATAATTAGTACAAGGTGTGAGATAATGCATTTATACAGACTAATAAATACTTCCATGTGATACCAATGTGATAAAACCATTAAAAATAATGGTCACATAATCTTTAAATAATTTTTTTAAGTATCAGGCAAAGCATATCATTAGACAGAGATATTAAAAGGTGCTGAACAAATCATGATGGCACTATATCTGTCCTTTCTTGTAGAATACTTATATTCAAGGAATATAAATTAAACTGAAATTGGTGCATGAAAAGGAACAACCAGATCCTACTTTCTAAAGAGACATTAAAAGGTTTTGACTTGCTCACATCACAGAAATGGAGATCAGAAACTTACTTAAACTAAATGCAATACTGTCACAAGGTTAAAACAAAACACAGGAAAACCCAAAGCAAACACAACTAAACAAAAAAAAAAACCATGTTCTGGAATATATTTCAAACAGAAATAGCAGGAATACCTATCAGGCCTTGAGAGACAGCCTAACCAGATTGTGACAGGACACCACAGGGCACACAAACAGGGTTCTATACTCCAGATGTTCCCCTATACTCCATTTTGCCATGGACTCCTAGTCACTTCCCATCTTCTGTCCACCAAAGTTTTAATTATTCCAGATGAATGAGGTTGTTTGAGCTGGAGAAGAGGAGGCTCAGGAGGGACCTCATTGCTCTCTGAAAGGATGAACAGGGCACACAAACAGGGCTCTGTACTCCAGATGAGGGCTCTGTACTCCAGATGTTCCCCTATACTCCATTTTGCCATGGACTCCTAGTCACTTCCCATCTTCTGTCCACCAAAGTTTTAATTATTCCAGATGAATGAGGTTGTTTGAGCTGGAGAAGAGGAGGCTCAGGAGGGACCTCATTGCTCTCTGAAAGGATGTTTTAGTGAGTTGTGAGTTGACCTCTTCTGCTATGTCTCAAATGAAAGGATGAGAGGAAATGGTCTCAAGATGTGCCAGGGGATGTTCAGATTAGGTATTAGGGGGAAAAAAAGAAGTCACTGAATAACTGGTCAGGCACTGGAAAAAGTTGCACAGGGAGATGTTAGGGTCACTGTCTCTGGAAGTGTTCACGAGGCATCTGGATGTGGCACTTGGGGATGCATTTTAGGTGTGCTTATGGTGGGTTGATGGTTGAACTGGGTGATCTTTAAGGTCTCTTGCAACCTTGACGATTCTGTGATTCTGTGAAAGGTGTGGAATAGGGATGAAAACAAGGCCACCCTCAGCTTGCTAATTAATGCCAAGCTATTAAGATACATGTGCCAGATGCAGGCTCAAATAACTTTTGAGAAAATCTATCAAAGTTGCTGGGATTATTCTGTGTCTCTCACTAGAAATTATTTCCAAGCTTAAAACCAGAAACAAGATCAGGGGCCTTGTATCCCTTCACAGCTCTCTTTGTGGGCATGTGTCTGAAAGGAGCAGGGTTTAGGCCAAATTCTTCTGTTTTCACATTTTATCTAGTAGTGTGCTGCTTGTGCAGTTCTCCAGGTGAGAACTTTATAATTGTATCCAAGAACAGAATACTTAACTTTCTTCATTTCTCCATTTCTCCCAGTCATTGGAGATGCAAATGAACACAGATATTCTGCTAGGAGCAATAAATTCCACTAGATGTCAGGGTATGTAAAAATTAGACGCTGTCGTTATAATCCAACTTATACTTAAGGGCCTTGCCAAGTTGTTATCCATGTAAACCACTGGGCTCTTGGAATGATCTGCTTGACTGTTCTTGCATTTGTGTTAACTCAAAGGTGCACATAGCAGCACTTAACACAAAGGCATGCCTCCTGTGGATTATGATGTAATCTAAATAAGCAGTCAAATACTTATAAACACACTTGGTCTTGATTTTATGCAAGTTGTCTTCACCAATATTTTTTTCTCTCTTAGCTCTTAGAAAACTGATTTTTTGATGTTTTTCTTACTACAATTAGACCTTTCTAAGAAGGGGTAGAAACTACTTTGAAAAGGAAAGTGATATTTGCTTTCTTTTAACAGGAATGGAGATTCTGTAATCCTCAAAATCTCGAGGAAGGCAGAATTTCTTACTGGACATGGTAAACTTATCCAGAAGTAGCTCTTTCCAGGTCTTTTGTGTTCTCATTTGCTGGGAAAGGAGAAGAGTAGGAGCTAAACATCTGAGATAGCAGTGTAATTATCTTTGGTTGAGGCAAAAGACCAGAAATAATCAACTGAGCATCTCAAGCTTTTCTGTTAGCCAAGAATATTATTTCCTGGACATTTAATGAATCATGTTCTAAAAAAAAAAAAAAAGAGAATTAGCATCAACATAGGTTTCCTCTATTTGTCTCTGTATGGTGTCTTTAACAAACATGAATTAAACTTGTAGCACTTCTGTGAGGCAAAAATTACTGACCACAAAGGTAAAGACAAAATTCAGCAAGTTTGATATCTGTTCCACTTGAAATGTGAATTTTCACAATACGGGAAATAACTCATAATGCTCTGAAGGTTCAGCAGTTCACTCTTAGGGATTTTGGTTTCATTTATGAGTGCTCTGAACTTCTGAGCATTCAGAGGTGGCTCAAGTCAGGCAAGTAAAAGTTCAGAATAGAGGGGTAGTGGGACTTGCCTGGGAGAGTTTGTCACTACTTTGAAGAGATGAATAAGCACTCTCTATGGAAAGGAACTGGGAGAAAATATGGCATTCTAGGACTTTTCTCCCTGCCACTCCACCCTCCCAAAAAACTATAATATCTATGCTTCTGAAATTTAAATAGTAGCCTTAGGCACACTGGAATTAATAGCTTGGTATGGCACTGTGAATTTGGTAGTATCACTATCCATCAAAAACAATAATTAAATCACATTAGTCACTCAGAACACAAAAGAGTAAAAGATGGTGACTGAGCAGGGTTCTATCCTTCAACACATAATCTCATTTTGACTCACATTTATAGAGCTCTTAGGCTTTGGTGAGACTCAATGCCACTGACATTACCTCTAAAACAGAGACTGAATACAAGTTATAGATTTCTGAGAGGCACTGCTAGACCTCGCTGCTGTGTCTTGTAATGGATTATCCCTTAATCAGTCTAAAGTAATTTTAGACTCATGAGCAAATGCATTCTAATTATGTGCAGCCAGTGAGAGTTTTCACTTAGTACTGCAAAAGTAGAGATTTTAAAATTCTGCTCAGTATTTCAGTACTTTTGAAAACCCTCAGATGTTCAGCTCCCAACCCTCTGGATGCATATGCAAGGAACATTTATGACTTTTTACTTGAAAATTCTTTTCATAGAATATGGAATCTTTTTTTTTTCTTTTTTCCATATCCATTTCTCTACTGTACCTATTTCTCTACCAAAAAAAAAAAATCTCTGAAACATCAGTCAGTTCCTACCCTTTCCAGTTCTTTTTTATTTGTGCAGATACTGGGAAGAATATTTAAAATAATCTGAAGAGCGTGGCTGGTAAAAATGAGGTATAACTAAAGAGAATACAGTAGTATCTCAGAAATAGATGAAAAAGCTGTGCCTAGAGAGCAAAGGACTGGAAAAATGCCATTTGAAACATCTCTAAAAGTGAGCATCTAGATGAAGCTGAGGCAGCATGTGCACCTGGCAGCAAAATCAGATTTTCTAAGCATAATATTCGCCAACATTTTACTCTGAAAGATCTGTTATTTCCTGCACACTTCAAGCTAAAATAATAAATGCTTGCAGAAAGCCAGAAGAAACCTTTTGAAACTCTGCAGAATCTGGAATTTGCTTTTGGTTTTGATTGGTTTGGGGCTATTGTTTTTTTGTTGAGGTGCTAGGTTTTTTGTCCTTCATTTTCTTTATAGCAAGCCCTTGCTTTTTAAAGAGATATGCTCTTAGCAATGGTAAACTAAAATTTAAATAGACAGTGGCTTTCAAACCAAATCATATCTGTATGTCTGTTTCCAAGGTCCCTAATGAAGTAGATTAAATATCCTGGAACATCTCCCCAGGCCGTGATTCAATGTACTTTATATATATTAGGAAATATATTAATGAAACCATATTTATAAATACTAAATTTCATCATTCTTTTTGAAAATATACAGTTGGAGTTCATTATCCTTGATATTTAACTATCATTTTAACTAGAGTAGACTAGAAGAGGGTAGAATAGAATTTCTCACAGTGGTCTGCTTCTATGAAATGTTTGATTATTCTAAAGGTTAAGAAGGTATTATTTTTTTACTTTAACACTGGAAACACAGAGTCTTTAGTATACTGATGGCATTGTTACATCATAATGATGGAATTTATGTTTCTTTTGTTAATCCTGCCAGGTTGCAATGGCACAGAGAACAGACTGTACAGATTTGGTGGTTGAAATGGGCAGGGTACTCTTTTAAATCCACTCAGCAGCACATAGCAGAAAATAGTGGAGGTGCTTTTAGTGATTTACAGTGGTCAGTAGGATTTTGTGGCTGTATCAAAAAACCTGCACCTTTTACATCACAGTAGTGAGATGGAGACAGAACATTAGACGAGCATCTAATTTTGGTTAGTTAGCTCTCCATCATTTGGTATTGATGACAGCATCAGACAGAAGGATTGAATAGATAAAGGACCTCTTTAGGATGAACAATTTCCTTCGAT